TTCAGGGGAGACAAGTATTCTGTTACAAAGCAAGGTCACTGTCGTCAGCCAACTAATATTAATGAGATAACCCTTTACACGCTGGAAAAGAAATTACCCCAAAAAAAAATAAATAAATAAATAATTGAGTTATAAAGACGAGGAATGATATATACATATATAACAGGAGTGGCACTTTAAGGCTGCACACAGAGATAAGTCAATTACAACAGAATAGGGGTTCTAAACTAACCCAGCTCTAAGGAACAGAGGTTCTAAGGTAAAAGTTATCTAAGAAGTTGCTGAAGATATGAGGTCAGTTAAGGTTACAAACTTGTTGCACTAAAGTCGAGACCTTTTGGTATACATGAAATATTGAACTAGGTGATATCAAGGCTGGAAACCTAAATGAAATCTCTTCTATCCAGAAAAGGTTTTAGAAAGAGGGATGTACCATCTTTGGCCATTGGTTTCACACAGACATCTGATCTAGACATTATATTTTAGACGGTTGGAAGGTATGCTGCAATAAACTGATGTTTATTAAAACTGAGATGGTTGGCAGGTATACTTCTGGAATCTTAACTAAAATAAATCAGCCATCATTCAATAATAAATTTAAATTTAAAAAATTGTGTTAAAGGTGAAAAGGCAATTTTAATTTTAGGCCAAATTTATGCACAAAGAACACTTTCAAAAGTGCCCTGGAGCCAATTTTAAAAATCCAGGTATTTATCTTTACTTTCTTCTTTTCGCCCAGTCTTAAATATCGAGTCAGTGATATCCATCAGTGAAACATTTTTTCCGCTCCCTGTCTTAAAGCATGGCTTTTTAAACATCTTTCTTCTCTTATCTATTATTCTCATCTGTTTTAATCTTGTATTCTCATCTGATTTAATCTTGTATTGCTTGGGTTTTCCCATGTACATTTCTAAGCTTAAATTTATTTTCTACTTTGAGCAAAGCTATAAAATTGTGACAGACTTCTGGTATAAACAATTGAAAGCTATCGGGGGCTGTGGAATAGTAGCAGTGTTGTGATCAGGAAATAAATACATTCAAAAAATTTATACATAGAAATAAATAAATAAATGCATGAACCTTATGTGAGAAAATGAATAGATTGGAATTAGGTCATGTGACCAATGTTAGATGAAGGAATAAGTTCAGCTTAAGTTTCATCTCAAATCAGAATCTATCATCCATAAAGTCACTCTGCTATCAATCCAATCATTCTACCATCATATAATTAATGAAGGTTCTTAAATTTGAACGTTACAGGTTGTTCCATCATCTCATTAAGCATATCATTTTAACATCAGAAAAAAGTCATTTCTGCGTAGATCCTTTATGTAAACTAAAAAACAATATAGAAAAAGTAAATTCATAGGTTAGTATTAACTTGAATAAAAACTCAATGAATAAATTACATTTAGCAGCCTTATTTTAATGAAATGTTATGACTGTTTCCTCAAATTTACACCATAACTGCTCATACACCATAACTGCTCATACGCCATAACCGCTCATACACCCTGACTGCTCATACACCATAACCGCTCATATCCTATAACCGCTCATATGCTATAACCGCTCATATGCCATAACCGCTCATACGCCATAACCGCTCATACGCCATAACCGCTCATATGCCATAACCGCTCATATGCCATAACGGCTCATACGCCATAATGGCTCACACGTCATAACGGCTCACACGCCATAACGGCTCACACGCCATAATGACTCAAACGCCATAACGGCTCATATACCATAACTGCTCATACGTCATAACGGCTCATATGTCATAAGGGCTCATATGCCATAACCGCTCATATGCCATAACCGCTCATATGCCATAACGGCTCATTCACCATAACCACTCATAAACCATAACGGCTCATTCCCCATAACCACTCATACACCATAACAGCTCATACACCTTACGGATCTAGTTTCTTCATTCAGAATGCCAGACATGTCAACTACACTGTTTCCTCTTTGATATAAATCAATTATCCCCTCTTTTATTACAAACTAATGAAAAAATGCAGAGGAATCTTTTAAGTATTAAACAGCACCCCAATTTGATAGAAATAGTAACAAAAAAATGTATTTTTTTATTTTTGGTCTTAGCACAAGTATTTAGAGCCTTTGTATACATTTTGATTAGGCCTCGAACTTGTAGAATATCAGCATGCCTACTGCATCTAATATATTACAGTTAATTTCTATACTTATAGCGCCCCCTCACTCAAATAACATACAACAACCAACACATTTATGTCCAGTGCAAATATTGACATCAGCAGCCTAAGACAAATTAGAAGAAAATTTGTAGTGCATAGGTTAAAAAACATTAATAAGAAATAAACTAGACCAGAAAAGCTGCATAGATATGGATCAGAAATTAACAGGAGGGTGGGGGAGAGAAACGGCAATGACTTTTTGGATTTTTCTAGTCATTGTGACTTGAGTTTGAGAAAACTGTAACAATTTTAGAAATGAAATTAAACTTAACTTTAAACAAAAAATCTTTAGCTTAAAAACAGACACATAATAATATTATATTTTTTAAACCCTAACAAAAACATAATTTGCTAGTTTTGTATTACATCAATCTACTTAGCAGTAATTTGAAACACTACTTATCAATTCTTACAAACTTAAAACAATAAAAAAATAAGATTTATCATTTCAGTTTAAATGCATAATTGAAAATAATTTAACGAAATAAATTAATAAGAGATTAACGGGTTTAGAGGTAAAATTGATGACTCTTAGTTTCCAAATCTTGATGTATGAAAAGCACAAGATCCACACACAAATATTAGTGAACACAGCCAAATTTAACATTATTCAAACTGGCAACTGTTGGGTATCTCCTGACAACTGCAGCTGATGGTCTAATCTCATTTTGGCAGATATTTACATGGCACACAGCGGCCCACCAACCATCAATTGCTACTTTATACAGCACTTCCTCCAATATCCCAGCTGTGTTTCTCTGACATTGGAATTGTAATAAATGCACCTGGAGATGTAACGATGTGTGTTAGTTAAAATATTAATGAACTTATTAATTATATTGTAATTATATTGTTGAACTAGAATTTTGATAGTTTCAAAACATTAACCACAAAATTCTTAAGTACATCCAATTTCATTGGTTATCTTGTAAATCCTCAGTTTCCAAACATTTGAAATGGAGCCAAGTCCGTGAGATTTTTAAGGCTGTGCTTCATTTCATTTTAACCACAACGGTTAACATGTGGGATCATAAACCTATTGTGGATATCATTCAGGTATTTTAAGAGGGTTGGCCTGCCATAAAGCTGTTAGAAAGATTCACAATTTTTACATAGCTGCAATATCTTTTTACTATTTTGATCTTATATTGTACTTCCATCCAATTTCTTTACTTTATTCTGATCGTTGTTTTCATCAGGGACTTGTGCCCATTCTTATTCTTTTCTTTCTCTTTTATATCTAGGTTCTAGATAACACAAGGGATTATAAATCGTTATGAATAACATGTGGGATTATAAGTTTATAACTCGGTTCTAGAAAAAATGAGGGATTATAAATAATTAAGGATAACACGGGATTATAAATAATTATGGATAACATGAGGGATTATAAATAATTATGGATAACATGAGGGATTATAAATAATTATGGATAACATGTGGGATTATATGTGAATTTAAAACCCCATTCATAATGAATAATTTCTTTTTCTTTTTTTTTTGTGGCTCTAAAACTAAACTTTTTACCTTGCGGCTCTGTGAATAAAACCCTTGACTGCTTGACTTTTGTTTTCTGCCTATCACGTGATTGGTCAGTGGTTGACCAATGGCATAAATGACACTCCAACCTTTGGATATTTCCGTGTTCCGAATCCCTGACAGTTTTGACAGGGACAGGATATAATCCATGCTGTCCTAGATATCCATTGTGCTGGTCAACTCCCTCAGGTGGGAAAGTGTGAGGAATTAAGTTCAAGCAATTATTGTCTGTCTTCCTCTGCCCTGATGAACATGATGGAGGACAGGAAACAAACGTCTGATCTGTTCTAGGACCAAAATGGGATGAAAACTTTGTTCTTGATTGCGGATATCCTAAAACTCCTTGCAGGATATCCGATTTTACAATGGATGATTTTGCAGTTTGGCATGAATGGAGATGATTACCTTTGCTATCTCTGCCCTTTTTTAGTTGTGCCTGGCAGCGGTCCATGTTGCCTCTTTGTTGCTTCCTGTTTGCTTTCACCCGACCTTTGAACTTGATGTTCCTATTGAAAAATGTTGCCTGTGCTGTGAATGGCCTACGATGACTGCGTTGAATTTTACGCCATGTAAACAGCGGAGGTCTTGCAGGTAACGTGAATAACCCAGGTGAATAGCTGTGACAAGGACTGCTGCTGCCTCCAGAGCTGGGTGATGCCAGGGCCTCACCGCCACCATCTATGCTGTCACAGTCGCCATCACAACCACTTGTTCTTGGGTTATCGTCAAAGGCAATTCTACAGCTGCTACACTGTGAGGAACCAGGAAGTGACAGAGATGAAGAGATGGACGTCCATGAGCAGGTCCCTGTGCTGACATCAGACAAACAGGGTGATGATGATAAATCATTACGATTCAGGTGCCAGGAAGGTTGGAGTGACCTCCCCTTCATTATCTCTTTCAAATTGGATTTGTGTGTCTTCCCTTTGAGCGTGCTGAGAGATTTGAAGCAGTGGGGAGGCGACTCCATTGGCAATCTGATGTATTGAGTTGTCTGACCCCGAATTACATAATGAGAATTATTGTTTGTATTGTCATCACTTGAGCTGAATGAGCCTTTTCCCTTGTAAACGTTGGACTCAAAACTGCTGACATCACTTGGGTTCTTCTGCTGGCTACTTCCATACAAACTTCGAGTGCTATCACCAGCAATTAGGGGACCAGAGGTCACCCTGCAGCAATCACACTCACCCGAAGTTTCACTCGGGTTAGCATCAGAAGAACAAGAGCCATGCACGGCCGTGGAGCTGGCTGCTCGTACTGCCATACGTTGTTGGGATGGGCTTAACCCTGCAGATGAAAACTTTTTGACCAGTGGAATGTTGTGGGCTTTTAGAATGCTGGTCGGATGGGGTGATACATTGCTTGCCTGAGTGGTGTGACTTGGTCGGATGGTAGGATGGGGTGATACATTGTTTGCCTGAGTGGTGTGACTTGGTAGGGGGAGGTGTGAACTAGTGCAAGGGAGGGAGGCTGGCCCACTCGGATGTACCTGAGAGTGAGACATTTTGGTCTGGAGGTAGGACGGAGATATTGATGATGACTGAAGTTTTAAATAAGGTTTTTCTGAGGCCGTATCTTGACGGGTTGCATGTTCACAAATGTAGCAGCTGTGATCTGCTGGTGATACAAACATGGAGTTGTGATTGCAGGACTGGGACAAAAATGGCTTTGATTCATGAGTCGATGATTTGGATGATGGGGCTGATCCCCTAGTGCCTTGACAGGAAGAGCAAGCGTGTAGATATCTGGGTGCAGTGTGGGCCTGGCCCAGATGAAATGGCGCGTGGTAGGTTTTATTTGCATAATAATCCACATGTGACGAGGGAGCTGCGGCAAAATGTCTTGTTCCTGGCAGAGTGGGGGAGAACAACGAATAGTGAGAGGATGACCTGGACACAATTTGTGTTGGCTCTGGGCAATTCAACATCTGCTGGGTCTGGTGCTGAGATGACCTACGAACCTCTTGTGGCCTGATGTTGCTCTCAGCAAATCTTGGCTCTAAAACAAATGAAAGGATTCCTTTAAATGCATGATAACATTATTGCTTGCATTCTCTACCATTAGGATTATGATCAAATCTTTTTACAATGAATTCCAGCCTAACTGTTTCAATATTAAATCCAAAATTCTCTCAAAAGAATCCATTTCATAAACACACACATGAAAAAAAAAGACACTTATTACTTTCAATTTTTTTACCCCAATAAATCCAAAACTGGATATTTTCTTATCTTGTTAATTTTATTGACAAAAGTCTGTTACATTTTGAATAAACATTAGTCAATATTTTTTATAAAACTCTAAGTTATACTGATTGACATAACTGGGTTTTTCATGAGCTGAAACCATTGCAGTTTAAGAATATAAAATTTTTTATTTTATTATTTTTTTTATCAAATGACATACATCTGATATCTAGGCATAAATAAATGACACAAATAAAAGAAATATTATTAATCCAAATACGTATCAAAATTATTAATTTTTGTTCTAAAGATGCCCCACTGACGTAATTGCTCTCCATATAATAGCAGTTATTTCTTATTTTGACACCCATATTGCAAAACGATTTTAAATGTCCTGGTTTTTTATTTGAACATGTTTAAATGTCCAGCTTTTGAGCTTGAAAACAAAATGGTCATCTTAATCTAATGTAACGGTTGAAAACTTCAAGCAACACAGACACCAACTAGAATGAATGTGATGAACATAACAGTTACCAGCTATGTGAAGTTTGCAAAGTGGACAGGTCCCATGGAGCTGCAGCCATGGGTCAACACACAGCCGATGGAACTCATGGTTGCAGGGCAGCACGCGCAGAACCTGACCCATCTTGTAACCCTCAAGGCAGATGGCGCAGCTCTCTGATATCGAACTCTGCATGCTGGCGTCTGAGCTGTGGACTTGGAACTGTTGAGTGATGTGGCCAGGAGTCTGATACTTTCTGGTCTCCAACTTGGCAATGGCCCTCTTGGTGATGTTGCCTAGAGATAACTGAATGAACCAGGTCATTGTTATTAAACTGATACAATTTCTGAATGAACCAGGTCATTGTTATTAAACTGATACAATTTTTGAATGAACCAGGTCACTGTAATTTAACTAATTAAATTTTTGAAAGACCCAGGTCATTGTTATTAAACTAATTAATTTGTTTTTAATGGACCAGATCCTTACAACTAAACTAAAGAAATTGTCAAAATGAAGCAGGTCATTGTTATTAAACTAATTAATTTATTTTTAATGGACCAGATCCTTACAACTAAACTAAAGAAATTGTCAAAATGAAGCAGGTCATTGTTATTAAACTAAACAAAGTGTTCACTTAAAAGGAAATCGATCAGATCTAGGTTCAAAAGAAAATCAACAGTCTATGACTGAGTTTATTTTATTCCACTTTCAAAGCGATCAGTTCTAAGACGACCTTGACCTCCATCTTACCTGACTTTCTCTGTGTCTCCACTTCAACTGCAAGTTTGAAACAAAGAAAAATTTAAATTAAGTTTAAATTTAATTAAGAAAAAAATGTTTATTGCAATCTTTTTAGAAATCAAATCCCCCCCCCCTACCTCTGCCCAGTTCCACACCTTTTTTCCCTTTCCTTGAAGAAGAGAGGCAGCTACCATGAGATATTTAAGAAAGGAATTGGACCATAACTGGAGGGGGTCTCAAGTTTTAACCCCCTCCCCTCATGTGATATTTAAGAAAGGTATTGGAGNACCCCCCCCCCCCCCATATACTATTTAAGAAATGCATTGGACCATCACTGGAGGGAGGTCTCAAGTTTCACCCCCCACCCCCCATGTGATATTTAAGAAATGCATTGGACCATAACTGGAGGGGGTCTCAAGTTTTAACCCCCTCCCCTCATGTGATATTTAAGAAAGGTATTGGAGCATAACTGGAGGGGGTCTCAAGTTTCAACCCCCTCCCCCCATGTGATATTTAAGAAATGCATTGGACCATAACTGGAGAGGGTCTCATCAATGGTGAGATGAAAGGGCCATGAGCTCATTAATGGTGAGATGAAAGAGCCAGGAGCTCATCCATGGTGAGATGAAAAGGCCACGACCCACACATAGAACATCTTGTACCGGTAATGTGCACATAGTATTTGTAAGTGTTGAATGATATCATCAGTCATATTTTGAGAAACTCTGGTACACACCCAACTTCTTAGCTGGGGTGGGGGGGGGTGCACAAGTTAAACTAAATGGGTGGTGCCGGGGGTATGAGCTCGGTGGTGCTAATAAAAATGTTCGCTCCGAGAGGGGGGATGACCTGATAAAATCCCCCCCCCCCCAAGGTATTTCCCTCCTTGACTGATTTAATGACATTCATTAATTTTGACCAAAAGTGTCTACGCCTATCTCTGACCCCTTTGAGCAAGGACCTGAGTAAGAGACTGGACGTTCCTCTGCCCCCCTTTAGCACGGCCCTGGGTGAGAGACTGGGCGTTCCTCTGCCCCCTTTAGCACGGCCCTGGGTAAGAGACTGGACGTTCCTCTGCCCCACGTTAGCACGGCCCTGGGTAAGAGACTGAACGTTCCTCTGCCCCCCTTTAGCACGGCCCTGGGTGAGAGACTGGACGTTCCTCTGCCCCCTTTAGCACGGCCCTGGGTAAGAGACTGGACGTTTCTCTGTCCCCCTTGCCCCCCTTTAGCCCGGCCCTGGGTGAGAGACTGGACGTTCCTCTGCCCCCTTTAGCACGGCCCTGGGTAAGAGGCTGGACGTTCCTCTGCCCCCCTTTAGCACGGCCCTGGGTAAGAGACTGGTCGTTCCTCTGCCCCCCTTTAGCACGGTCCTGGGTAAGAGACTGGTCGTTCCTCTGCCCCCCTTTAGCACGGCCCTGGGTAAGAGACTGGTCGTTCCTATGCCCCCCTTTAGCACGGCCCTGGACGTCAAACGATGGTGTTTTGTTTTTATTTGAGATTAAAAATTCTACTTAATGACGTCAAATATTTCTTCCTCTTTTCTGACATACTATTTTAGAGCAAAATGGGGGCGGGGGGGGGGGGGTGGGGCCCCTGGGGGGAGAAATTTTTTTTTTTTTTTTTTTTTAAAGATATCCATTCCAATATTCCAATTCAGTGGTCTCGATTAATAGGGCAGTGGTCTCGCCTGGCAGTCCACGGGGTAAACCACGTCTGCTCACTCATCGGACAGAGATCAAAGCAGACGTCAAGTCAACACAGGGACCCCCAACAAAAGACCCCTTTGTAACAGTTGAAACTAACAAGAAATCTCGCACTGGCGACTTCTTGATAAGGATTTTTGTGGGGTGTGGGTGTGTGGGTGCGTGTGTGTGTGTTTGTTTGATGACTTCATTGACCTGACTTGAAAAGACTCAAAGATTTCAAGATTTCAAGTCGAACTTAACGGCAGCTTTTGATGAGGTTAATTTGTCTTCAGTGGGATTGCTCCTTTCGTCGTTTTAAAGACATGAAAAGAGTTTAGTCGAACGACAAGAAAGCGGGCCATTAAGGAATTATTTCTTCCTGAACATTAACCCATTGAATGGGTTTGTTCTTGCAGTATTCCATGGACTGTAACAGAGAGCAGAAGAATGCACGCCAGAAAGACGGCTCAAGCCCTTGTCCATCTTTGATATATAGCACACGGGTGACATACACAAAGAGTCGTCTCCGGCATTACATTTGCAGTCATTTTAATTGTAAATCCTCCAGATAGTGATCTAAATCTTTCAAAAATATAGTTCAACTTTAGTCAAGCTCAGCCGGCATTAACGATTCTGTGTTCTCTCGCCGTAAAGTCATCCCCACCCCCCCCCCACCCCACGTCTCTCTGGAGCCCGTAAAGTGCGCCCTCTACTGGCAGTACCCAGCGTTACACTGGCAGCACCCAGTGTTACACTGGCGCCGCCTAACGGCACTGAGTACAAAAGACAAGGGCAAATATGATTGAAGTACCTCATGTGTAACATATATAAAAGTATGTGTCGATTGGGGCCAGGAATTTGATTGAAGTGCATGAAAAAGCATTTCTGCTATACTCGCACAAGGCTAAGAGGCGAATGAAAGCATAGTTCATTCTTTATCAGATCCATTATAGGTTGAATGTTTAAGAATTTTTTTTTAAAAACTCTTATATGATAACAAGCACGACGCGTAAACAAACATACATACAGGCGACCTACAGACATACATACAGGCAAACTACTAACATACATCCAGGCGACCTACAAACATACACACAGGCAAACTACAAACAAACATACAGTGGACATACAAATATACATACAATCGAACTACAAACATACATACCAGTGACCTACAAACGTACATACAGGCGACCTACAAACATACGTACAGGCGACCTACAAACACACATACAGGCGACCTACAAACATACATAAAGGCGACCTACAAACATACATACAGGCGACCTACAAATATACATACAGGCGACCTACAAAAATACATACATGGGACATAAAAAAATACATACAATCAAACTACAAAAATACAAATGGGACATACAAATATACATACAGGCGACCTACAAGCATACATACAGGCGACCTACAAACATACATACAGGCAACTTACAAACATATATACAGGCGACCTACAAACA